CTCCAGTAACGATGACTAAAAGGAGAGCGACGATCTTTGCATATGTAAACCAGTCTTGCACCAAGGTTGCCAATTTCACAGACCAACAATTGATAGCGCCAAGAATCACTAGAAAATAAACTATTTTTGACAATTGTATAAAAAAATAACGACGTACTTATCATTACTGCAGCTAGTAATTCTTTCGTATACGGAGGAGGATCACAGTCTGGATAGAATGGCCGGAGCATGTAGAGCGCAAACGTTAGCCCCACAATTGTCAAGGCGCATGGTCTAAAAAATATTTTGATTCAAATAAGGAAATTGTCGATGCGAACACCTTCAAATCCTAGAACTGAACTATAGTCCGCCAAAAAGTCGCCAAACTCCACTGAGTTCACCGAAATCCGCGTCGCATCGCATTACTTTGGTTCAAAGTAAATGAATTCTAAATCCAAGAGCACAGTTCCGCTCGACTCGATGAAGTGCATCTTTTTGTATACAGAAGTGCCCGTTTGGGTAGGAGGGCGTACCTATTTCATAACTTTTTTGCCTGCGGTAGCTTATTCTGTATATTATGGGTAAGCACGCTGTGCCTAACGTTGAAATCCTAAAAGTTCGTGAAATCTGGATGCCTACCGTGCATCCCGTAACCTAACAGGTACTTTTATATATTGGAAGATGCTCCTCATCGAACTGAGTCGAGCATCCCTTTGCATTCAAAATTCGTTCACCGAAGGATATGACGAGACGCGATTTCCGTGAGCTCCTTTGAAATTCGGTGATTTTTTCGATGGATTATGTGTGGATTGTACATTATAAGAAAGTGAACTCTGTTCCATACCTGACCACCATGCTTTCGATCCATAGCCTCAGAAAACCGACAAATGGACCGAACGCTTCCATGATGTACGCATAATCACCACCCGATTTTGTGATTAGCGTACCAAGTTCGGCATAGATATACGCTCCAAGTCCACACCATAATCCACACAAGACCCAGATAATTAATGAAGAACCGACAGACCCAGCAGCTGAAAGGTTCACGTTCGTGCATGAACTGATTTAGCTGCAAAAATGCTGACCTTCTTGCACGCCTGTGGGGCTCACAAAAATTCCCGATCCTATGATACATCCTACAATCATTGTAACGCTGTTTGTCAACGTTAATGTCCTGGCTAACCCTTTACCAGTGTCCTAGAACAACAGCGCTCAAAATGCCTTTTCGTAGGTCAAAAAAGTCATTGGCTACCTCTTCATCTACATTTGCAAGTGCGTTCGGCTTTTTCCTGGAAGAAGCCATCATGGGTTTGGTCTCGCTGTTTCGCCCCTTGTCCGTATCGTCGTCGTCGCCTGCAGAATCCATGT